GAATTCTCTATACNACACTCCTCGTCGCTTCCGGCCCTCGGGGTATATTTTCCTCGTCGCTTCCGCTCCTCGGTGCGCGATGTTGAAGTTCAATTGAACTGACCTTGAACTTTCAAAAATAATTTCCCCAAAATGGTAGAATTGTAAAAAATGGTAGAATTGTAAATTTCAAAAATAATCCCCCTCTTCACATTTAGGACTCCCAAAATGGTAGTAGAGTTTTATCGTATATTAAAAATGATGATGAAAAGCCCGATAAAATGGTAGTAGAATTTTATCGTATAATGTAATGTACGACAAGGAATACAGACGGGAGTACTACCAACGAAACAAGGAGCGAATTGCTCAATACTACAAAGACCACCGACCAATTATAAGAGGGAAGCAAGGACAATATTGGTTGAAGAAACGAGAAATTAAAAATCCATACGGAGCGAGCCCTAGTCAAAAAATCCCGCTAAAGTGGCTTATAGCGCTATAAGCCACTTTTGCGGGATTTTTTTTACTAGGGCTCGCTCCACATGTCCAGAAAAACCAAAAGAACCTGAACCTGAACCCGAGCACAATTGAGCAAGGTTAGTGTTGACAGTAACGGTGTTGAGACTCAATTGATGAATTAACAGGTAATAGTTTGAATGAAGTAGTTGGAACAAGTCACACAATCAACATAACTGCAATTACAAATGACGATAATGGGAATCAGCATAAAGTGTATTCTATTGGAACAATCCCTAACCCAGACCTTGAATTTGCAGTTGACGTGCAAGGTTTGAGGTTGAAGTCCAAGTTGAAGCGGCGTTTAGCATATCTCGCCGGCGGGATATGTTACGACTAAGGAGGGGGGGGAGTCGCAAACTCGGCTTCGTTGGGTTTCCCAGGCCCGAGGAACGGCGCTGGGGAAAGGGGCATGCAGCCGCCAGGTCTTGACCGGGGCGGTAAGTCGTCCGGGTCGAATGTGAGTCGCTTCGGCCGCTGGGAGCCTCAAAGTGACAGGCTAGACCTGGGCCGCTTGTGTCGCGCCCCCAGCAAGCTGGAGCTAGTCCAGGCTGAAGCCCTTCCGCCCTTGCTATCATAGCCCGGGGTGAGCTTGGTGCAGGGCGCCTGGCCGCGGCGAGGCAAGTTTTGAAGTTGCGCCAATTCCCACCCGCTGGCTCCCTCGACAGAGATGGCGCCGCGCCAGGGACACCTGAGTGCGTCTGGGGCAAACTCACCGGGTTTCCCTTCACAAAACTTATCCTGCAGCTTCTATGAGGCCTCAGCTTTCTCGCGGTGGATCCCAGCCCTGGAGTAAACCAGCGGATCCCCGTGGATTCCACACTCTGGAGCACGGCTTAGGCTTCTACACATATGTTTCCCGGTGTATGACTTCCGGTGAAAATTTAATTAAGAAAACTGTCTTATCACCCGAATCTGTGTGTGGGAGGAACTCACCAGAAGAAGACAAATAAAGACATACCTTCAGCAGATGATATAGTATGTGCCGTTACACGAGCAGACTGTGCCGTACAATGTATCAACGCGTAATATATTAGGCTGACGCTAGATCAGCGCACAAAGTTTGCACCATCTAAGATGCCCGAGGCCACTCCAGCGATATATGCCGCACAATTGAGGTGCCCGAGATCAGGAGGGACACTAACATACTGATTTGTGACAGGGAATGTTTCATGGATCATGTCTACCGAGTAAGGATACAGCTCAAGTCTATGATACAATAGAAACGCACATTCATTTTCATTTTCAGTACTTCTCTCCAAAGAGTCCGCAACCTTTCCAAACAGAGCTTTCCAACAATGCGACGAAACAAACTACGACCATGTGTCTCAGCGTAGTGTAAAATGAAATACCTGAAGAGCTCCGACAATTTGAATTTCGTGTTTGACTCGACGTTCGCGGTGACTCAAGAGCTCCAAAATCCTAAGACCAACACTATGGCCACATTCTTCGAGTCTACATTCAAGGTCCGCAGCGGTTTGGATCCGGGTGGATTGGTATTGCACTATCTCGGAGAATAGATGTGCGAACGCGGACAGGGACACAGAGTGATCAAGCCTTTGCTTCATGCTCGGGATCCTGTGCCTGTCGAAAGCTTACATGTGTAGCTAGATCTAATGCGACGAGCCGTCCAGCCGCGACGGAGCGAACACGAGTCGCACAAGTTGCCCCCGCGAGTCGGACAAGCGGCCTAGGCGACGAGCAAGGACAAAAGATGGGCACGACACGCCCTCTTCGGGCTGCGAACTTCAGTTCCCGCGACCGTCCCGCCCACTCGCGCTCACGAGCGACCCTCACGACACCATGGATCGACACTGTGCCGCTCTCGCGCACGAGATGCGCCGAACGACCGCGCGGTGCGCCGGCGAGCGTATCGTTCGAATTCAAAGGGGTCCGTCGAGTGCGCGGCGCGCGCCGTCATGTCCGCCGCCGAACGCGTCGACGGTCAACTGGACGAACGGGCAGAGGATCTGCCTCACTAGGCCCAGGAAGACTCTCCGTCTATTACAGTGCGGGACGCAACTATAGCAGGGTTAGAAAGTATTAAGGAAGGGAAAGGATATTGGGTGGCTCTGTACCAGCGAGCCACTAGGGAGATACACTGGCAAAACTCTCTATCTCTCTATTTCCCTTCAGTCCCAAGCTAAGGCAATAGACACCACTAACCGGACTCCTCGGAGGAGTCCCCGATCCGCGCACTGGAGGTACGTTCTATGTCCACAATCTTGATTAAAAAAAACGCTTCGTCCCCTGTTACCCTAGTTTGGGGTATCTCTCTCTAAGCCTGAGTAGCGTGCTGTAGTGGACTAGTATAGTCATGCTACGACATGCTCGACTGCGACGGCGTCAGGATCCTCTACGTTGGCACTGAGGTTAATCCACACATAAGCGCCTGTGGTCATGCGCAGTGCACCACAGCTGC